AATAAAATATACCTGATGATGCGTTTTTGTAAATTTCATTGATTATCGATGTAATGAGCAGTGACAACTATGTATCCTCTTTTTTGGTGATCAGCAGTCCACATATCAGTTGTAATAGCAATTCCCCTTTCATTAGCTTCTAGTTTGGATATTGTTTTTGCCTTTTCTTCTTTGAAAATCTTCAAAATATCATTCTTTATAGTATTTCGAGAAGGCATAGCAAACAAAGGTTAAAGACTGTAAGAATACTTTCTAAATTGCACATGATCAACCATTGATAAAGGATATTCGTGCATGATTATCATGTTGGCAAGCTCCCTCATTGTGACATTTTGATCAAAGAAAAAGTTTTTTAGTGTTATTTTTTCATCTGCCTTCCTTTGATTTGTTAGCAGCACTTGTTGACGAATATCCATTTGAAATCGTTTGCTGCACTTCTCTGAATAATCACGCAAATGACTTGTTCTATTCTTAGAAGCACCACCAAGTTTTTTTTTTTACAATAATTGCATATTGCCTTCCATTCATTATTGATCTTCTTTTTTTTTAAATGTTTTCATACTTCTGATTTTAGCTTACTTGAGTTATACCCACTATCATCAACTTTAGCACCATCGTTAGTCACACTTAGTGATGGAGTTGTATTTTCATCAAATGTTGGAATGAGAGTTTGTTAAATTGGTGATTGATGTAAGGTAGAAGTAAGCGGTGTTGGGGAACACGAATTATCTCTCAAATTAGACATTTTACCTTCATTCATAAAAAAAAAAAAATAGAGTTAATTCTACTAAAACAATTAAAAAACAAACTTAGAATCTAAGTAACAAAAAAATTAGAAAAGTTCATTCCATGAAAAAAAAAGTAAAAGATAATCCTACCATGTACAACTTAGCATGCACCTTTAGGTTGTTCACTTAGCATGCAACTTTAGCCAAATAATGGGGCTAATTAACATATAAAATAAGTTAAAATATCTTCATTTGTCTTCACTAATGTAGTAGAATCAGATTTCTACAAGCAAGATATTTCCAAGGGGCATAAATGGTTTAGGATTGTATATTGATATATGTGCATGTAATGAATGAATTTCAAAGCTTAAGTGGCCTTGTAATGGCTCGTAACTAATGATGTAAGAAAATTAAGATAGTGTTAGTAGATATGAGGTCACCTGATCAAGGGATCCTACACATTTCAATGATTTTGCTATCTAGGATAAGAAAAGAATTAGGATAAACTGATAAGGGTAAATTTCCTAGCCTTTCAGGTGCTTTATATTTAGGACATGTTCCTTTGAAATAGCTAGTTTCTATTGCATTTGATAATTCATGATTAATTTTCTGAGAGTATAAATTTATTGAGGGAACAAAAATTACATACTTGACAAAACTGAAAGCCTTAATCCTTAGGACAGTCTCTCATTATGCTACCTAGCTAGACAAGTGAATCAAAGCTAGTGATGCAACTTAGAAATAAAATATAGTACTGAATTTCTCATATTATAGTCTCTATCATTTTTTTTACTCCCTTGTGCTATGCTATATATTCTCACCTTTTTTTTCTCATTTAGTTACCATGCAAGCTCAGCGTGAAACCCCTCCTGATATGATAGGCAGAGATAAGTTCTTAATTCAAAGCACAGTTGTCCTAGTAGAAGCAACCAATGAAGACATTATGTCTGCCACAGTAAGTGATTTTTTTGCTTTTCTTGTGCTTAATTGATAATAATAATAAATGACTTTTGCTTATTGTTTTGCTTGACAGTTTGTCAAAGACAATGGAAGATATATTGAAGAGAACAAGCTTAAATCAATTGCAAAAGAGCCAGTATTCAATGAATCAAGGAATAGATTATGATGTTTCAATTGCAAAAGAGCCAATATTCAATAAAGTTGAGATTATTGCACCACTGCAGATGGTTAGATCTACTTTGTCTATTTTTTTAGCCTTTAAAGTCAAGTTATACATATATGTACTTGTATGTGTGATTGCATTATCTTTTAAAGGAAAATATATATTATTTTTAATCTAAAAGTGAACTTGAAGAGATTTTTTGTTTGAATATGTGATTTAAACATATACTTCAAGTCTATTGACAAATTTTGTACCTAATACCTCTAAGAAAATTAATAAATTATCAATGTTCTCTTCACTGCATCAGGTTGTCAAGGTTAAAGAGTCAAAGATGATAAAGCCTATAAAGGATATGGAATGGAAGCCAAGGAAGATATGTTTTATACGAAGGATTTAAAGCCAATGAAGGATGCAGAGCTGAATGATGTTAATATTGAGGACTTAAAATTAATAAAAGACATTGACCTGAAGAATGATGTTAATGTTAAGGACTTAAAATTAGCAAAAGACAGTGAGCTGCATTTAAAGAATAATAATTTCAATAACAAGGAGTCAAATGCAGAATCAAAGCCAATGGAGGATATTCTTGATACTAAGGAATTGAAGTCAGTGAAGGAAAAGGAGTTTAATGCATTGAAGGATGGCGAGGTGAAAACATTGAAAACTATAGAGGAGATAAAGTTCGCTAAATATGTGGAGGAAATGAAATCAAAACTAAATTATCTTGAATCAAAGCTAGCCGATGTAAGTTTATTTATATGACAAAGAATGATGCTTAATACTGACAGTTAAAAAATAAGGTTGAATTATATTTTGCCATCATTAATTCACATCTGTTGTCATGCCGTACTATAAAGTTTCAGTAACACCATAGGTAATTTCCTTTTTAGGCTAAAGCTACCATTTCAAAACTGACAGAGGAGAATAGGTTAAGCACTTAAGAAATGAAGCTCTTACAAGAAGAACTAGTAAGTTTTCTGTCTATACATTCTTCTTATAGGTCCTTGTTATATGTTCCATATCATGTGTTCAGTCATGGATAGTCCACATTAAGCACCCTAAAACACTTGATAACAGAAGCAAGCTCAACAACCACACTGGCCTGCAATATTTGCAGATAATTCTTAACAAATACCTCTAGTTTCGACTTAAGAATTTTAATTTTTTTCAAGTAACCTAAGACAGGTATCATGTTTTTACACACACTACAACCAAGCATTAAAAGGTATTCATTTAATATCATCAACAGTTAATCCAAGCTCTTTGTAAAAACTAATACGCTCGACATAACCTTAACAGTAGAGGGTAATTCTAGATTCTCTAATTCATCAGAGATTATTCCTAAGGTTTTAAATGAAAATGAAGAGATTGATTTACCAGTAAAAAAAATTTGATATTTGTAAATAAAATCCATAAAGAAGATGACTTTGGCTTACCTCAAAACTGCTGTCTGCTGGTACTAATGGAGATTACTTAAAGGAAGGCTCAACTATTGCAATTTTTGTTTCTCAGAAAGGGAAACGATTGCTCCTAGGTACAAATGGTTGGCCGACCCGTCTGTCTTTTTGTCCTGTTTACTGTCTTCTTTCTAGCTTGATGGCTTTTTTTGTTGAAACAGAAGAAAGATTCGAAGGAAGAAAGCTAAATAAATGAAAGCTAAATGGATGAAAAAAGGTGGGATGAGTGGAATTGGATAGGTGGATGAGAAATTTTGAAGAGATCGGAAGAGATGAGAAAGATGGGATGACTAGATGGATGAAAAACAAGAACACTGAAAGAAATCAAAACTCAGAAACCCTAAAAAAAATTACATATATATATTAAGGGTATTTTAGTAAATATCTCGAGTCTAGTCGGGTCGAGTTTCATATAAATCCGACTCCGACCCGAAACCGATATTTCAAAAAATAAACCCAATCTGACCCGACCCGAAACCCGTTTTTTCAAAAAAAAAAAATCTGACCGTAAATGATCGAGTCGGGTCGGAACCTGACGGTTTTGGGTTAATATTCCGAACCTACTGACATCTAGGATAGATTACTTCTTGAATTGTCCTTAACTCCTCGTAACTTCATGATCCTTTTACAACATTTAGAAGCATCCTCAAAAAATATAACTCTCTAGATGCAGGTTGTATGTACATGATCCTTCCAATTGATTTTCCTTGCTGTCTTGGTTTCCATTCTTTTCTTGTTGTGTTCGAATCCCATTAAGTTGGGAAATCACTGTATAAGAGATTCCTGGCTTCTTCATTTGTTTTATTAATTTCCATCCATTGTGTGAACATTATTTTTTGTATGTTTGGCCTCTGAATCACCCTCGATAAATCTTCATTGTCGCCAAAATAAAGCATTTGTTCATTAGGCAGATGGAGTACCAATCTCTGAACAACCAGCTCCTGATGATGAATTCCAAATGCAAATAACAATCCAGCAAGCCTCATATGTTGATAAATAGCTGTAGTCTAGATACTTTTTAATTTCATCTATGTCATTCGGTTGTTGCTGCTGATTTACAGTTTGATTTTGCTGTTCATTTTCTAACACAGCCCTTATCCTGTCTGGTCCTTTACTGATGTTCTTAAATAAGTACTTTATAGCCCTTGTCTTGCTGCATACTTTGACATTGACAACCAAGTCTATGTTATAAGGAACAACAAATCTGTTATCAAGCTCTATTCCATTTCTGAAAGCTACACATGCATTTTCAATTCTTTTGCGTCATATGTAAATTGGAAACTCATCTTCATTGATAACAGTTTTAGCTTGGAATGACTTTGGAAAATGCTTCGAACATCAACCTTTTGTCATACATGGAGCATTAAGATTTGCATTACCACACAGACCATGAATTATAAAGTCAGTGACAGCTTTGTATCCCACCGGGTCATTGGCTTCATTCGGTATCTTTGCTGATATAATCATGTTTTCTGAGTTGGTGTAGTACCTTCAGATCGGAGCCAGAGTAGCATGCAGACGGGAGGTATTCCACGTTTTTGGAACGCAACCGTATATGTTACTGTTGGAATTCAACAAAAAGTATTTACAAATAAGTTTGAAAGATTGTAGCAAGATTAAATTTCATAAGAAACCTTAAAGATGTAAAAGAAAAAGAAAACAGTGTCTGAAACATTCAGACTAACTTGCTATCACCCGACCAAAATTATTATTCTTTGTCAAATTATCCATAAAAAATATCATAATTTTATTTTGACAACTCTTGATATGATATCCGGTCTGTCTTCAAGGTGTTGCCCGAGAATTAATGACAATGCATTTTGAATTTCTAGCCATCCTGCATTGCAAGTGAATGTGATAAAAAGGTTTGGACAGCCATAAAATCTGCAGATGGCCATGGTATCTTGATAGTTTTGGAAGAGATATCGAGGGCTTTCGATGAAAGTTGCTAGAAGTATAATCCCTTTGCCTACTGAAGATCCCTCTAAATCACCCCTCGCAATTGCATCTCTAACATCTTTCAAGATTTCAGATCTAATATTCTTTTGATTCCTCTTTATGAATTGCAATCTGTTCTCATCAACAGTATCATAGGCATCTACAACGAATTGTTGAAATAACCTGCCTTCCCTTAACAAAGTACTATGATATAGGATCCTTAACTAAATGATGTATGCATGGTACTCACGTATAGTAACTGTTTTTCACTTCCCTCTTATTCTTTTTGGTGAATTAACACATGGGATATCTGTAGTGAAACCATCTTCACCATAAGGAAATAGTAAAAGATATTGCATTGCCATGAAAAATTGGTGCAATTCACTTATCTTTTTCAATCCTTCAATTCTATGTTCAACTATTTTATCTCGCTGTCTATCAAATCCTCCAAAATCCCAAACAATAAGAGCTGCAACTTCAGATCTTGTAGGAGCATCATATGTTCTATCTCTTTGATTCCTTCTCCCAACCAATCTGAGCCTTATAGGCATGTAATCTAATGTGGTAAATCTATCCCTGGCCGTTCTAAAGGCTTTCACAATTTGATTATTTTGGTCTAACATTTTTGTTAATCCATCAACTTCATCTCTGTCAATTCCTAAAGTTTCAATGTTTTTATCAATGACAGTCATTCTGTTTGAGGTCTCATTTTCTGTATCATAAATGTACAATTGAGCAAATTTAGGCCTTTTCCCTGAAATTAGCAATAGAGGCCCCATCCTATGATGATTCTAACCACTGATTTTAAAGACCTATGGATCTGCTTTATTGTTGATAAAATTGTCAACTTTACCACCAATTGAAATAAATTGAAACATTGAGTTGTAGACTCTTATGTTATCTCTGAATTTAGATGCTCTCTGACCTTCTTGATAATCTAACAAATGGTCCAAGAAAGTTGGTGTGGGTCTAAAATGAGCCATCTTAACTATTCCTTCTTGAAAACATAAAAAATAATTGGATTCAAAGAATGTTTTTAAGTATCAACTCTTTCTTCGTACCACATTAATGCACCGCAAAATGGATAAACACACTTAAAAGGCCCAAAACTAAAAGCTGAATAGCAATTCCTTACATTATTTGCCCAGAACTGAAAACAACAAAATGAATTTTAGTTAATTATAGAAACACATTCAAGATTGAATTTGAAGTTATGCATATGCATTCATTGCAATGGTTACAATTGACTTACTTAAATGTCCAGTTGATATTGTCCTTACCACTTCTTCTCGGTGCTCAAATTCAGCTGATAGATGCATTATGAGCACTTCCTTTAGTATATGTAAAGTCATGGTTATTATTCAATTAATAAAATACAGATTAACAACTAAAGAAATGTTTATGCAACTTTACCATGAGATTTACATATTATAGACTTCTGCTAAATGACTGATTCCTTGAGCTTTTTCAGAACTCGAATTAATTGAACTTGACATTAAATTATGTTGTATGAAAAAATTGCTACTGGCCGCTTTATCTTCATCAAATTCAAATTAAAATCTTCTTTTTCTTCCAGAATGAATCAATGAAGATCCAAGAACATCAGACCTTAGAGCTGCACTTGATACAGTTTCTATTTCACCCTTTCCATTAGCAGTTGAATGTAAATAAAAAAAAATGAGGCTGACTAAGTTTAATTCTTGGAATAGGTTTGCTTGGGGTTGGGTTTTCTAGTTTCTGGCAATAGCTGGATTTTTTTTTATAAATTTACTCTATTATTGATTTTTTTTTTTTTGGTGAGTCATTACTATCACTCTATGCCTGATTTACATCGAGTCTAGATTGTATTTTCTATGGGTCTACTATCCCTTGCTAATCTATTACACCTTATCCCTTCATGCTTTTTCGTTCTATTTTCCTTAACTTGATTAACAGAATCCATCATTCAAAACACACATAAAAACACCCGAACTAACAAAAGATCTTAGGCAAGAGTATCAATTCAAACCTGCAGCAATGTTACACAAAACAATGATGGAGACCATTACAAAGACATGTACAAATCAACATAAGGAAAACACTATTGGAGAAACCGTTCAGTAAATAAAACAAACACATTCCGTGCACAGTCTTATCTAAAAAAATATAATCTAAAAAGGAAGAAAATAGAATGAACACTAAAAATTAGTAATAAATTAAGCATGCCAATAAAATATATAAAAAATAAGTCAAATTTAAAAAAAAAAAAAAAAAAAACGAACGCACCTGCTTTAAATAGATATCAAGAAGAACATAGAGTAGCAAAAGAAAATGGCAAAGAAAAGTCTGGAACCTGAAATATATGAACCATAAGAAAATGGCGTGTAAAAGTAGCCTCAGGGGGTCTGCCATTTATAACTAAAACTGTTTTTGTCGAGAACAATCCTTGTTTTCTTTAGCATAAAAAAAAACTCAAAAAATCGTCTTTATGATTTACTGTTCATGCGTTTAAAAACCAAACGTTAACACTTAACTATTTGATTATAAAGACATTTGTATTTCTGTGTTCATTTTTTAAAAACTTAACATGAAAACTATTTCTAATTCAAATCTAACTGAGATGATTTGTTTTATAATAAGACGAAAGCTGCAAAACCAATGCTTAGCATATAAGAAATAATTTAAAAAATCAATCATGTATTGATAGATGTCATGGAAATAGCTTTTCAGGTTTTTTTTTTCAATAGATTGTAATCTAATTAAGATGATCTGTTTTATAAAGAGACAAATCTACAAAATCAATACATAGTAAATGAGAAATAATTGAAAAAATGACCGATTAAGTTTGACAAATATCATTGAGATAATTTTTTTGGGATTTTTTTTTTCAATAAATTGTATGAATATTGTGATAAGATGTTGCTTAATGTGAAGAAACTCGAACCATCAATAATAACAATAATAATAATATTAATATTAATTTATTGATAAAATATTAGGATTTTAATTTTAAAACTTCATAAACTAAATGAAAAAAACACTCAAACTTGAACAAAAAAATTAAAAATAATAAAATAATTTTAAACTTACAAGTTATTTTTTTCTCTTATGCAACAATTTTATGATTAAAAATTAATTAAAAATATTAATTGATTTTTAAATTAATTGATATGATATTGAAATTGATAAATTTATGTATAAAATATTTTTTTAATTAAGTCTAAGGTAAAGATTAAAAATGAAAAAAAATAGCTAAATAATTAAGTCATTGAGATTTAAATCAAGAGGACAAAGCGCTTTAAAGTTTTAAACAAAAATCGAAGTAGAAGTTTTAATTAAGGTAATAAAATCATCGTCTTACGACACCGCATTGCCGCATCAACAAAAGTTTACCACTGTCCAACCGATCCAAAAAAACTTACAATTGTCACCGTCCCACAACGTGGCGTACTTTTCTACCTCAAAAAATACGTGGCAGCGCAGTATTGGGTCACCCCACCCAGCCGTGGGACCGTTACTGTAAACCTAGTATCGAGCCCAACGCACCAAAAGAAAAACCTGAAAGCAAGAAAAAGAAGGCGGCAAAGCGGCAACTAGCAATTATAAAATTCCTTGGCATTTTTCAAGCAGTCCTCACCAACTCAAAAATAAATAAAAGGAAAAATTTTAATTAAAGTCTATATTTTATCAACAAAAATCTCTTTCCCTTTCCCTACCTGAAAGAAGCCCTAGATTTTCTCGCTCGTTCCTTCGCTTTCTCGGGAAAAAAATGGTAAATACTTTTCTCCTCAACTCTTTTTACTTCACTATCCTTATCTTCTAACCTCTGAATTATTCATTCTTTTTTTTTTTTTCATTTTTATTTTATGCATTTAAAAAAATATATATTTGATCTGTCGAATTAGGTGCAATTTTCATAAAACTGGTCGTAACAATTCTTCAATTTAGGGTTTTATTAGGTCTTTTTTAGTTCCTCCGATCTAATTTCAATGTTCGATTCGATCCTCACATCTCATTGTTTGACCGATTGCGGTTACGTGTCTGATTTTCAAACGTTGTTCTCATCCGGTTTGCTTCATTTCACATTTTTATTTACTTTATATAGAAATTAGAATATTTTGTGATTTCTAATTTTAGTAAATTTTGCTACACATGAAAGTTATTTCATTTTCTTTTCTGCCCATCTCCCTTTGCATAATATTTGGTGTCAAAACGTGATCGATATTAGGCTGTTGATTTAATTGGAACCAATTAAAAAGAATTTTCCTATTTGAATTTATTGATTATAATAGTTAGGATTTGGGGAAATTTTTAAGTCCCCCCCCCCCCCCCAAAAAAAAAATAAATAAAGGAAATGTTAACGGTGAGCTTGAGAAAAATGTAGAATATGCATTTTCGCAAAGTAATTTGTAATAAAAGGAATAAATTTATTAACTTGACAATTTTAATGGGCTTTGTGTCTGGTAGAAATTGGTCTTGGGGGTTTTATTTCAAATCTTTTGCATTTTCTGTTGCCAATGTTTTCATTCCTCAGTTTGTAAAATTGTTTGATTGAGTGTGATAAATATGAGTAATGGGTCCTTCTAGTTGAAGAAGTGGGTGTAAACTGTAAATTGGGAGAATCTTTTTGGAGGGTGAAGCAACCAGCTTGTTTAGCTAATGGAAATTACATTTGCCGAAACCCCCTCCAAACTATGTAATTCACTCTCTTAAACGAATAAGGCTTCATTTACAATGCAAAATATGTTGTACGGTTCATTAAATATGATTTGTAAGAATTGGCATTGTTACAATATCACTGACTAGATTCTTAGTAATTTGGGAACTCTTATCATATTTGACTATTCAGTAGTTCTCTCGCAACCTGCAGTTTGGATTTTTAGTTGGCTTGTTGAGATGATTGTGCATGATTTGCAGGCAAATGCAGCTTCAGGAATGGCCGTGCATGATGATTGCAAGCTGAAGTTTTTAGAACTGAAGGCTAAAAGGACTTATCGCTTCATAGTTTTCAAGATTGAGGAAAAACAAAAGCAAGTTGTTGTGGAAAAGCTTGGTGAACCTGCTGATAGCTATGAGGCTTTCACCGCTAGCCTTCCAGCTGATGAGTGTAGATATGCTGTGTATGACTTCGATTTTGTGACAGATGAGAACTGCCAGAAGAGCAGAATTATTTTCATTGCCTGGTAACATGAAGTTTTAATGCATTTGTAATCTTTGTGGCCTGTTCTGTTCGTGGATCTTTCCTGAATTGTTTCACTCATCTGTTAACTTTTGTATGTGAAGGTCTCCTGATACATCAAAAGTAAGAAGCAAGATGATCTATGCCAGCTCCAAGGACAGGTTCAAAAGGGAATTGGATGGTATCCAGGTAGAGTTGCAAGCTACCGATCCTACCGAGATGGGTCTTGATGTCATAAGGAGCCGTGCCACTTAAAATAAATCTACTTTGAAATGGAAGCTTATACTATCTGGTTCGCTTAAATGTAATGTCTATAGCAAATTTGAAACTTAGAACTTGCTTTGATATCGGGTTGTTGTTCCTGAGTTTATACCATTCAGTCCCTTGTCTTTATTTGTTATATCTGTGGATTCATACGGGGTCAGTTTCCCCCCTTTGGTGTGATATTTACTGACTAATATATGGTTTGTGGGGGTACCAATCTCATTACGGTTTAACTATTGCAATTTTCATGCCTTTCGGCTCTGCTGCTGGATTGTGAATATAATGGCATTGAACGTATCTTCAGGTACTCCTATCTAACTTCATTCATATGTACTTTTGTCCTTTCATGCATATTTATTCATTTATTTCTTTGTAAATTCAAATTGAATAGCTCCTTCCCGTTGTCACACTGTTATTGCTAAAACATTTGAATACATTCTTGTCCATTAATTCCTTTACTTCCCACTCCTTAACTTAGGCTTAGTTGAATAATTGTTTATCAATTTTTTGGAAGATCCTTTTTATACGTGCAGAAGATATAAACAAAATTATCCATCTTATAGAAATTTAAGAATAGTTGTTTATCAAGTTATGTAAATGAACCCTGAAACGTTCACTGTTGATGTTACTCAATACTCATAACATTGCTTGGACTAATATTCCTTTATTTTGAAACAGTTATTCTTGTGGTTGACACAGTACGGAAGAATTTCTGGGCAACTACAGGTGACTCTTTTCTTCGTACAGAATTAGATTTTCCCGTGACCTTAATTAGATTTACAATTCATGAGGGCTGAATTAAGTTGGCTACTTTCCAAAGGTCATCCTTAGTAATAAAAAGCCTTAAGTTTTTTAACTCATGGAGGCTCGTTACCTCTAATAAGGAAATAAGAGCAAAGAATCCTTTATTTTCGATAGATAGGACTTTCAACGAACTCCAATTCCGTTAATAGTGGTACCACCTTGGAAATCTCTGTTTTTAAGGGGGCATCTCCAAATCATATCTGATTTGTTTTTATTTCAGTTACAAGACTGTTTATTACATGATTTTCACATTGTAAATATGTCAGCTTTTTATTTTTGGCCTGCCTCAGACTAATATGCAATTGTTGTATCATGGCTGTTGGGAATTTTTGCTTCATAAACAAGTTTAGTAGATTGTTTGATTTTCAAGTCAGACAAATTTTGGCTTAGCTTTCTCAGACTTGTTGTATTAGTATTGTATTTTTTACTGAGTTTCAGACTCTTTTTGTGTAATATCTTTTTTCTGAAGAAAGAAATAAATTTGTTTGGTTTCTCAGAATCATGCTGTATAAAATTTTTCCTAATCTCTTATGCTATATTTCCCTTTGAACAAATTGTTCAATGACCTGTTTGAGTTCTCGTTAGTCATTCAATCATATATGGTTAGTAATTTCTAGCCTGGCTTATTGGGCCGGCGAAACCAATGGATTCTGCCTCTCCATGCCACAATCCTTTTGATATAAAAAGATTTTAAGGCTTAGGTTTTCTCAAATTTCTCTAGGACGAGATTAATTAATCAAGGAGATGGACAAATGAAGCCCCTAATCTCATTTTGCGAGATGGTCCATTTGAGTTCAACAAGCAAATGCAGAGAGAATTTTCGAAAGGACAATCCCAAAAATCACGAAGAAAAATTTAAGGATTAAAATCGAATTGTTTTTTCATCTTATCCCATGGCAGTGGGATCTTTTCAGGAAACGAGAATGCTGCAAACCACAGCATGAATTTTTAACAGAAACTAAATTGGAGTTGAACCACAAATGGTGAATCAAGGAACTATCTTAACAAAGAAAATGTAGGAGAATATACAGCATCAAGCACCGTTAGCTTCACAGCAAAATTGGGATGTTATACTCACAGGGTCTAGTTAGAGTCAAAAAGAGCATGCTCAGTATGTCAGTGAATCATTACAACTAAACATCACTTTTTCTTCTTTCCCCCAAAAAATTAAACCAGCCAATATACCTACACAAGAATAATTGCATAAGCAAATAGCAGGAGAGGAGACGACATCATTTAATTCGTGTAGCTTCCAAGTGGTACTTATCCAATTCAGCATCAAGATCTTCTGCAGATAATTTCTTACCAATCCATCCACCCCGCCTGCATCCCCTTGCAAATCCACCACCAGCACCGGCAGTTTTAGATCCATTACCACCACAACGAACCCATCCTCTACCCACAACTCTTTCCTTGATCCCTGTAAAGGGACAAAGAAAATCATGTAGTTTGAGTTTGAAGTATCAGTGAACCGCGACTCAGGGCAGAGTAGATGCTGAGAATAATATATAAAAGCCAGTTTTCTCTGAGACGGTGCTTGTGGAACTTCCAACATGAAGAACTTTCATTTTTTTCAAACCCAGCATTTAGTGCTCATCTAATCTCTCTTGTTTGTTGCCTAAGTGAGAGCACATTCGTCTAACTGAATATTCAAGGTATTGTTGAGCAGATTTAAAATTCTTGTTGAACCAGAAGAAACAAGTTACATAAACACTGATAAAAAAAAAAAAAAACAAGAGACTGGAAAATGATTATCATGCAATTAACTAGGAAAACCCCTTAAACTTCATGCCTTCTAGAGGCAACATTTGGCTTTCTCAGAATGCCGCTTTCGGTTGGAGAGACAAGCGCAGAAATAACCACATTTGCTCCCACAAGCTCAATTGTTATTGGTTTCCCATCAAGTTGAACATTGTTATATCTTGACAGCTGCCAAAGCATCTGTCTGTCTTAAAAAGACTACTTCTGCAGTTCCCTAAAATACATACTAAACATTTTCAGCTGCAGATACAAAGAAGAAACATTTCAAATTGGCTTCAAACTTGAACAAAAGTAGATCCTTTGATCTTCTACTCCTATCATAATTAATAGTGTACCTCTTCAAATTACCAACCTCAGAGAAAAGCACCTAGCAATTGAAGATGTTGTTAGGACAAAATTTAACAAATAACTATATATTCTATAATTTGTTAGAAACAGAAGAGAAATAAAAGTATGCCCTATTCTCAAAAAGCTGATCGGCAAGAAGAATAAAGCATGAGATAGGTATACTACAGAAAGGAGGGACTAAAACTGGAAATAGAAAACATTCTAAGGAGCAATGAAGTTTCTAGCAAAACTTCCACTAAAATATGCATTAATAAGACTTTTAACAGACAGTTTCAATCAATTCATATTCATATTCATATTATCATAATGATGCCACAATCTTAACCGCCACATACCTCAGTCCCATGCATTACTACACTAAAATGTCACAGACAACCAACCAGCAATATTAGTACCATAACTAGCAACCAACTTCCACTAAAAACCTTTGCCTCCACCAAAACCATATTATTGTTCTTATAGAGATACGTGCTTCATCTGCTAGTTAGACCGAAGAGCTAGAGTGCTAAATGGTAAAGAAAAAAACATTGATAAGTTCTCAATGCATATAAAAACATGTTCATACGCATAAAAGTACAGTAGACAGGGAGTAACAACAGCTCATTACAAACTTAACCCGCAAAATGTAATTTCACGAATCAACTCCCAAAGACAAAAAATTAATCACGCAATGCTTCTATGCTTACACTCTACGAGGCAAGTAGTCAAGCATAATTCGACTTGCATACAAGAAGAAGCACAATATAAATTCTACTCCACCATGTCCATTATTATTTCATACAGCCAAAACAACTAATCCATTCCACATCCAATGATCGCCTAAATTATATTCTTTTAGCATCTAAACATGCCAATCCACATTTTTCTTTAACAAACAACTCGCTTCAAGATTTCTCATTCGTCCTTTGCTACTCCAACCATAAACAAGATTATAGCAACAAACAAACAAACAAAAAAACCTCATTAGAAACACCATAATCCAAGTTTGATATAGACCCGATCTTCCACTCGAAACCAACTGTCCCTCCTGCATTTGCTGCATAGAAGACACACACGTTCACGAGCGGGTGGAGTTGAACAACCGTTTGAATAAATTCCCATGTAACAAAAATAAAATAAATGAATAATTTTTTTTTTACCTTATATCAAAATTAAACTCATACCATTTATACGTAGCCATTTTATGCAATGATAAAATAATGTGTACCACCGAATGTAAAATGTGTAACACTTACACCAATTTAAGTGAATCCCTCATCAAATTTTATTGAATATACTATGTATGCACATTCCAATATTCAAATTAAAATTTCATCAGTATAAAAATATATATTAAGAAATAAACAACGTTGATTTGCATCAGTTTTTTTTTTTTTTTCTTTGTTGGGGCAGACGAACTTACCGGTCTAATCGGGTACGAGTTGGATCTGAGTGGGTCGCGAGTGTGGTCACGACGATCAGGGCCAGGGCCGGAGCCACCGGTTTTGCGTCTGGAATCACTGGAATTACCCTCGGATCTGCTTTTATTACGGATGATTTCCTCGAGTGACGCGTCCAGTGAGCTGGACATTTTCCAAATTTCACGTTGGTTCTCGCTTTTTTTTTTTTTTTTGGTTATGATTAGCGTTTGATGAGCCTTTTGAAAGTGGAAGCCGGAGAGTGAAGGCTTGGTGCAGGGATAGACGGAGGGGGAATAGGTTTTAAAGGGTGACGAAAATTTCATTCCCCCTTGTTATTTGGAAGACACGTGGTGGAAATGAGTGGGCCGTTGAGTTGGGTCCGGCTTTTGCAATAATGGACCTACTGGACTGGATTAAGGAAGCTTCTTTTGGGTACAAAGTTTAAAGCTGTCTTGCGTAGTTGTACATAGGTCTGTCCGCTTTGCCCCATTCATGTTAGGCTTAGAACAATTTTTTTTGTTGATAAATAATTATTTTAATTAAAAATATAATAATAATAATAATAACAATATTATTATTATTATTATTGCACATTGATGCATGTTAATTTTAACTTTCTGATATTTGATGGCACCTGTGGTTTGCACATGGCTTGTTAACCATCTGAGTTTGGGGTCTCTTATCTCCTTTCACAAAATGCATGCCCTTTTCCACACATCATGAAAAAAATGTATTGCAATAATTAATTTTGCTTTTCTACATGATTATTAGTTCTTCAAAAATGAAGGGCCCAATCAGACTCGAACCAGTGACCACTTGATCTGCAGTCAAATGCTCTATCACTGAGCTATATACCCTTCAATTTTCGTATGGTCAAGAGAGTTCCCTCAAAAATAAATATAAACTCTTTAAGTTGGACACTTAGAATTCATAACGTAGATATGGGCATGATACCAAAATTATAGCCCAGCACGGTGAAACTTTGACCCTCTCTACCAAATGAAGCTATAGAATTGAAGGATGTGACCAAAGTAACATTATCTATCTTTGCATCCATGGATTCAGCATATCCATCTATCATCGTTTAAATTGTCCCTAACTAAGCAGAGAAAGAACAAGTGCCACTCTTACCATGTAAACTACATGCATTCCTTCCTAAGTGCCACCATATCATGGGACCCGCTTTCTTCTTTGCAATTTTTATTTCAAATTAAGAATAGCTTCATCAAAATCGTAACACATAAAATATTGTTTTGAGAATAAACATGAAAAAAAAACTAATGTGAGGAAGTTGATGATCGATGAACCGAGCCTCGGATTTCTTGTCTTCTACCTTTTCCTGGCAGTAAAGAGGTTAACCTTGGGCAATTTGATCCTAGTCTCACCCTTCTTCATCAAGGCATATCATAATTTTGCGTGTATTCATACAAAGAAGAAACATCATTTGGAAGAGGAACATCATTTGGAAGAAACATCATTTGGAAGTATATATTTTAGAATCTTCCAACTAAAAGCAAAAGGCTATATATATATTAAAAGAGGAACAATTACGCTTTTAAGAACCCCGAAAGCCAAAAGCTGCAGCAGATAGCTCACATTGCAATCTTACACAACTCAAAATAGTGTCCCAATCTTTGCTTCTGAACAAGTTTCAGACCAGATTAACCATGGTAGTGTCGGCATCAATTGGTTCCAATAAGTTGTGTGATATGTTGCAAGGTAATAGGAGTGTTGACAACATACAGCAAGATACACCCACAAAAGCAAAACCATCACTCCACCGTCAACATATAGATCAACTCACCAGCCCATCAATATTCTTCGTACTTTGTCCACAATCTGATTTCTAGCTTGACTGCTTGCTAATGGAAATTCATGGCTGTCATATAAAAGAAATCTGTAGACTTCCCACTGCCGATCAGAGGTAGAATGCCTTCCCATATCAGCCTATAAGGTAACAGTAAACTCATTCATGCATGCTAACATATATTCAGCCTAGAAAAGAGAAAGCTAGAAAACAGACAAGAAATCCCCATGTAAATCCTTACTGAGAAAATGCATATCCCTAGCATTTTAAGAGCCAATGTAACATCATAGAAAACTCGAGGCCTTCCCTTTCCAGATAACTTAACAGGGTTAGCAACCAAGAATTCAGTATCAGGGCCTCGATTGACAATAATCAGTCAAAATGGGTGAAGCATTTCCTCCTTAAAACGAGAACATAAAGCATTCTGATGCTTGGGATCCACAATCGTTTCTCCATCTGCTTGCTGAATAAAAAGATCCAAATTACGGTAGCCTTTCACATTTGTAGAGAATCTACCATAAGCAATCTGCAACACCCCAGTGCCAGCAAATATCAGAGAACTAAAAGCATCCTATTTTCATTGCTTGCCAGACAATCAAAGAATAATGATAGCAAAGGCACAATAAAGTCTAAAGAAGGACAGTTCAGAAACTAGAGATTGATTCCAACTAACTTGATTCCAAATATATCAAGCACCTCACAGCAGGAAGGTTGATATTTCATGATTAAAAATAACTCTAAAGAAGCTTGGATAACAACAATAATCAACATAAGTCAAATATCATCAATCTCATGACCAGTACCTGAAAATCACAGTCTTTTGAAGTCCTCAAAATGTCGTAAAAGAGTCCTTTCTGATCAAAACATTAAATTTGAAGCAATGTATGAGCAGGGCTCAACAGATTATCTACAGTAACAGTGGCTTTCTTCAGGGTCATCAGATTTGATTTGAGTTCCTTTGAGCTAGCTTCCTTGTCAACCAAATCATAGGTAAATAACTCTTCTACAACTGCAGGAGGGAGAGAAGGCAATGCCTTCAGACTCTCATATTCAGGCCCTGACAACTGAAGCTCACAGCTGATACAATAATTCCCAAAAACAGCAATGAGATGCTCACTGGTGTCATCTTGTATCTTTTTTGTATGTAAAAGTTCCCTGAAATGAGACACTACCAAATGTAAGAGTTGCTGTCAATTACGCATTACCAACAACTAATAAAAATTTCCACCAGGTTATGTAGACCTAGCTCAGGAGAGACAAGGTAGAAAAATATCAAAATAATAGGAAGGTGACATCATAAGTTCTTTCAAATCAAGCTATATCTCCTAGAACTAGAAGTGTTAACTTCAAAAAACAAGCTCGTTAGTTGCTTTGCCATATGGTCAATTAAGTAATTGTTGTTTCTCCAAACTATAATTTATTTAAAGTTGTTGGGCTTGGTTTATTGACTTGTCTAAAATCAGAAGGAAAGTCTTTCTTTTTTTTTTAAGTTTAGACCATAGAACAAGTACACCATATTACTCTGCTTAGACTCCATATATACAAATTTCTACATCCTCATCTCCTTGGCTAAAAATTTACTAGACTACAAAATTTAAATCTACCAAAATCTACCATTCTAGAAACCTACCTTCACAGAGTCCAAAAAAGAACGAGCAGCACTAAAAAAAAAAACAGAAATTAAACAACAAAGATAGCATATGAAGGAGTCATCATAATGACATTAATAGTACATTCCGCACTGCCCGCCCTGCCAAATGGCAGCTGACTCAAAACTAGGTGTGCCCCTAAGACAGAAGGCGATAGAAAGTCAAAGAAAAAAAAAAATTGCATGCATACTATATTCACTCAACTAAAAATTTCTTTATAACATAAACACTCACATTCCATCCGCGATGAAAAACAGGACCACAACTCTTCCATCTGGCCTTGTCATAACTTTAACTCTTTGAATGGTAACCTCAAGCTCCAACAGTGTCTTTGTAACATCTGCACACAAAAGAAAGACAATCAAAATCCCATAATTACCAACTAACTCAAACATAGCAAAAGAATCAATCAAAAACCCAAAAATTTAAAAGGGTTCTTGTTCCCAAACCGTGAAGTAATCCCTTGCGGTCCAAGCAACAAAGTTTCAACAAATAAACCGAAGAAGAATGGGTTGAATTTCCATTTCCGTTTCCTCCCTGCTGATAATGAAAGTAATAAAATGGAAACAAACACGAGGGACACATCGAAAACAACAATCATTTTTTGACGCATTCGAAACATTGGGCACCAACCAAAATACTATGTAACACCATCTTCCATCCGTCGAAAAATCTAACAATAATGGGAAAAAAATCTATTTTATCTTATTTATTTGGCGCACATTTAATTTATAAAATACTTAAAAATATGAGTACCGGCTCGGGTAATTGAAAGCCCAAATTCGAGAATGGTACGGTAAAGATCGCACCCGAGACCGGGCTTGTCGGGCCAATTAACAGTGACAACGGTGGGCTCGGATGGGTCTTTGGGTTATAGGATTAAAACGTCGTCGTTTGGAATACCCGTTGCCGAAAAGTGGCGGTTATTTTCCGGGTTGGTTCTAAGAGGATAAATTTGGGATTTTATTATTTTAAGGGTTTGTCGCCGGCGGAGAAGAGCGGAGTTGAGAGAAGCTGGGTGCTATGGGGGTGAGGTTAGACGCTTTCATTTTGTTCTGTGAAAATGGTGAGTGAGAGATGGTGGAGATGAGGGCGGGGGGATTTTTTGAGACATTTGTCAGCTTAAAGTGGGACCCGCGTTCCACGTCAGATAGCGATGTGGGAACACGTACTGTTAGTTTGGTGAAGAGCGTTTTCGTAATTTTACTATCATAATTTGGTGCAGGGTAATCTCCGCTGGATTTGAGTGGCCACGTAATAAAATTATTTTATTTTTAATATTGATAGAGTTAATACGATGAATATTTTTTAAATTATTATAAAATATTTAATAAATTATTTAAATTTTAAAAACTTTTAATAAAATTTTTTATTTATTAATTTATTAATTAATAAAATATTTATTTTTAATTTATGAATTTATTAATTAATATAATATTTATTTTTAATATGTTTATTGTTAAATAATAATATGTGATAAATAAATATTATTTAATTATTAAATTAATTTATAAATTTATAATTCAAATAATATATTATAAATTTTTAAAAATTAAATATCATGTTAAATATTTTATTATAATTTAAAAATTATTCATAATATTAACTCATATTAAAAATAATTAAATGAACATATTTAATTATTTTATTCAATTATATTATGAATATATTTCATATTTATATAAAATATGGAGTAAACATTGCTTCATTAAATTATAGTGGGAGATAATGGTAATAATAATAAAATGATCATCGTTCAATTAAGAACAACTACTGCCACACAAAGGAAAGGAAAGAATAGGAAAAATAATTGGCTTTGTCAGAGTGAAATGACAGGAAAATCCTTTTTGTAAGAAAAATT